TTAATGTTCGGCTCCGCCCGAACTTAGACTTTCTTACTTGTTTGTAAATAAGGAGATATCCATGGGAGGGGAATTTTTACGAAATTTCCAGCAAAATCGGGGAATTTCATTGGCGAAATCGGGGACTTCTCAAAAATGAGTTGGCTACCCTGAGCTGAGGTGAGATGAGTTGAGGTGAGATAAGGTGAGCTGAGGAGAAATATTATTAGTTGTGGTAGGTTGTGATGAGGTGAGTTGAAGTGAGGTGAGGTAAATTGAGCTGAGGAAATGAGGAGAGTTGGGGTGAGGTAAGTTAAGATGTTAGTTGAGGTGAAATGCTAACCCTCATTGAGGTGAAATAAGGGGAGTTGAGAATTGAAGTGAGCTGTGGTAAGTTAAGGTGAAATGCGTTGAACAACGTAACATAACTTAACATATATAACATAAGATAACACATCATATTGACCCTATTGACCTGGCATTTCAGGGTACTATTTTATATATATGTATATAAGGAAAATTTTAAAGTTAGGGGGGGCTCGAGCACCCCCTGCCCCTACCTGGCTACGCTCATGGGTCTGCTGCTTAGCACGTTAATTAATTCAGTCTCAATATTAATACATACATTTTGGAGGCATTTCCTCCTCAGATACATACATGTATGACCTTTGTATTAGTGTCAGTTAAGAATTGATGTTTTCACTCTCCAGCTTCAAAATATATTTCTAATGATAGGACAATTCATCTAAACGCATAAATGCCTCGTAACCAAGTAATCTCGGTAAATTTAGTTTTGTATGGACAGCCGGTTTATTTACAAGGTTTATGCGGTTACGAAGCATTTAAGCGTTTAGATGAATACCCATGATATATAATTATTTACACCTTAGAAGTATAGTTTAGCTGTAAAAGGGGTTTAAAGAAAAAAATGTTTGCCTATCGAAAATTCTGAATTTTTAATGTATGTATGCATATAGATTGTATTAGTTTTTGGTAGTTATATGTGTAGATACATATGTATGTATCAACGCCACCCCCACTCTATTATTTTAATTGCATAACTTTTAATATTCCGCGGCCGCTCAAGAAAACCGCCATAAAGCAACGAAGAAGCAAACATACGTACAAACATACGTACATAAATCCCAGCGCCAGCAATATGAATTGCAATTTGTGAATGAAGTCACATTCGCCATCGCGCCAACAAGCCATTGTGAGCCGCCTTCAAAGGATATGCGAGTCGTCTTGGAAAAACGAGTTCAGTTCCAGCAGCCCTACAGCTGAATGCTATTTACTGCACTTGGCTTGTTTTGGTTGGGTTTGGCTTAGAGCAACTGCATGTAAGTCCGAAGGTGAACGACGACGACAACAATGTTGCTGCTGGCGCTGGCGCTAACTTTGGCTTTGACTATGCTTATTTTTAGCTCTCAATGGTAAATTGCTTTATTTATCATAACGAAAAATAGACGACCTTTAAACCTTCTCATTTCGCCCGTTTCCTCATTATGTGCGTTAAGAGTGCCAGTTTTTTCTTGTTGCAACATTGTTTGCTAATTAAATTATCGAGCAAATATTTAAAACAGTTTTTTGCTATAGTGGTCGACAGCAATTTTAGTAATGAAGCGTGTTAAAAGTTAGATAATATTGAAAAGGGGCGAAATTATTGTTAAGCATAATACAACAACTGCTATATGTTTTTGTAAGTAATGTAAGTGAGCGGTATTATTAGAGACCCTAAGGAATTGTAGCTGATCTTTACTGTTCACAGATCCAGCATTACACATCGCACACCGTCTTCAAAAGAGGCACAGCTCGAAATTTGTAATTTTTGAAATTATTCTCTAAAAATGTACACAGAGCTTTTATCTAACTTTCAGCCAAAGCTGGAGCAAATTTTTGTTATAATTTGTTAAAAACACCTAAGGACCTAAGGTAAAGTCTCCCTTGCCCATATGATTAGCTTGTGCTAAGAAATAGTTTTTCGCATTTTCTGACAAACGTGTAATTTCGAGTTGTGCCCCTTTTCAAGATGGTGTGCGATATGTAGGGTTACCATAACTGCTGTATGTACTAACTGAATAAACAAAATAAGTTCGGAATGTAGGATTGAGTTTAAAATATCCATAAGCAAATAACCTTTTTTTTTTAATATTTACAGTCGAATGCTTTTACCCTTTATTTTTGACCTTGACCTTGAGATATTTTACATTTTTACCTGCTGAGTTTCCTAATTTTAAAAATATTTGCTCCTGTGTATGTGTGTCCTCTACCAAGATTAGGTTAGGTTAGCCTGACATCATTTGGGATGCCAACACTTTTAGTGAACCAAAGAGAACGCTTGGAGTCCCACTTGGTATTTCATTCTTAGTATGGCTGGACAAAAGCAAAGGACGTGCCTCAAAGTTGCCATGTCTCCTGGCCGTATGTGTTGGTTATGTTAGTTCGCTAAAAGAACAGCGCTTTTGGCAATCCTATCCACCATTTTTTTTTTTTTTTATTTCAAAGAAAAGATACTTAGTAATGATACACTCATAGCTCGTATATTGAAAACAAAAGTCTCAACTCAAAAATGCGATTTTCAGGAAACGATGTACGAGTAGTTTTATATTATTAGCTCAAAATTTTAATATTTAGGAATAAAGGTATCGACACACCTATGCGATTCTGTAGGCGCGAATCTGTTCCGACAAAAATTACAACAATGCCGACCATAGCATTAAATGAGGAACCACACACTTGTACGATTTTCCTATAGTGATTTATTCGAACATTCACAGTTGTTCGTTTCGTGGTGCCGAAATCGCAGATTGCCGCGTTTTGAGAACGAAAAAGGTCAATAGTAGGATTTTAAAATACTAAAACAAAATTGAACGTAAGAAAACAAAACATATTTGATGTAGAAAAGTTAAGAATCTTTGTTGGAAAGTATTTTTTGTTTGTCTATAAATTGGACGATTTTGATGCGATAAAATCGGACAGATATGTGCGTACTTGCGTTTTCGAAGCAGTAACATCTGGAGCATCAAAAACGGTGGGGATTCGTTCCGACAGCGACGCACAGGTATGTGGATGCCTTAATTGTTATTTAACATATCCCTTTCTCCAAATCCTACAAAGCGTTGTGAGATAGAAATTTCAGCTATTCGAAACTTTAAAGCGCTTCAAGCAAGTGAAGTAAAGCTGCCATTTGATCAACTTTCATACATTTTTGACATTTCTCAAAGGGAAGCAAGCGTGGATTGGGTCAATACCTTTATATAGTTATGTATGTTCCACAGTATATAGTATATAGAGCAGTGCTGCTAGAACAGCTGATTAGATGTGTTTTCAGTTGTACTGGCATTTCATTTCGTTCTGAGATATTCAAAGTAGAATGAAGAATTCCTCTGCGATGGAAATATCACTTCATTTCATTCATTTTTCTACTCATTATTTTCTTAATTTAAGATTTTAGTTAAGCTTATTATTTCAAAGCTTAAAATATCATTAAAAAAGAAACTGTCCATTTGCTCAATGAAAGCAAATACCTAGCTGGGCATTGTGAGATTAATGACAAGTGGAGTTGTGGCCCCCCAGCGACCTCTTGAAGTGCGCCAGTTATTGCTGAGTGAAAAATTCACCCGGTTTCTGGCGGTGACTTCGGTGGCCGATTTCAATAAGTTTCTTCTGAGTCTTGGAAAACTAAAAAAAATTTAATAACTAATAAAGAATATCTACTAAATTACTTAAAAAAATATATAATAAGGTAATTTTACATATACATACATACTTATATAGATTTTAGGGGTCTTTGTAGAAAAAGTGTATGTTTTGCGCGCCAAACTTGAGAAGAAGCTTTTAAAAGGATTATTTAATTACATACATTTATCTATTAAAACGCTAACATAAATTGAATCCGCCTTCGACTGGCGGTTCTACTGAGCCGTTTGGACTGGTTGGTTTTGCATGTTTTTTTTTTTGCTTCGAAGGCGCCAACGAACACAAATAGGCTCACTTACACGAATATCATCAGAATACGATGAGGAAGACAAATATGAAAACGAATATGAAGACCAACTAAAGACGAACACGAATATGAGGACGAGCACGAATACGGTCATGAATACGAAGGCAATTACGGAGACGAAATCGACGACGAGGACAAATACGAAGATGAATATGACACCAACACGAAGATGAGTACTAACACGAAGAAGAATACGGATATTAATTTATAGACGAATACACGACAAAGACGAATACGAAAATCAAAATAAAAACGAAAAACAAGACGAATACGAATGCGTAAACGAATATAGAGACGAATACGAGGATAAGAACAATGACGAATATGAACACGAATATGACTACGAAGTCAAATATGAAAGCAGGTACGAAGACAACTACAAATACGAAGATCAACCGAAGAAAAATACGAAAACAAGGACGAATATGAACGTGCATACGAATGCGAAGAGTAATATGGATAGTAATACGGAAGCGTATGAGCAGACGAATAAGAAAAAGAAAGCGAATGATGTCGAATACAAAGACTACGACTAAGGATGAGTTGAATATTAAGCTAAAGAGAAAGTTCTGCAATATGAAGCAAACTGGAAACAAATCGGGGGAAGTTTCATTTAAGTAGCGTGACTCAGGGGAACTCCTTTTTTAAGGAGAATTTTTATGTTTTCACATGTTGGTTTGCTTCGTGTATTTTTCTTGTTTTTTCTGCTCCTTAACCAGCGTAAAGTTAGCTTATAGTTAGATACATTTCCTGCAGGGTACCTGTTATAAGCCATGCAAAAGCTGTAAAAGCATTGGCCGGAGTATGGCATCAGACTAAGAAAGTTTTATTACATGACAGTTGAGAAGTACATGTTCAAAAATTTCGTAAATTTAATGAATGAAATTTCTGCACGTGCAGCAGTGCATAGCATTGATTTAGGCGCTTGGTGTTAGTCATACATAGTCGCGCCTAAACAACAGCGCTTGATGAAAGGTAGTTCGAGAAGGAAGCAGCCTTATTTTCTAGCCTTGGACTTCTACGAATTTATGATTTAAATATTTTTGGACCTTTTTGCAACACTTTATTGGAGAATTTAAAGATATGCTACAGTTGACGTCACAATTGCGGCACTTAAAGCTGTTCAAAAATATACATACATATACTACATATATGTATATGTATATACACTGCTCTAGAAAACTGTGCCGTTCCCTGCGTCATCGAATGGTGCACTTATGCATCTATGCACCAATATATGTACATATGTATGTATGTATTTATGTGCATCCAACAATAAAAACAACAGAAAATTGAAACAGCGGCAGCGCCACGTACCGAACAGAACAAAGTAACAGAGCAATGTAGCAGCAACAGCAATGTTAATAGAAGGAACAACGTTAACAGTAACAGCAGCAACTGTTGGCAACATAAAAAGCAACACAGGCTGCAAATTCGGCACTGCAACATGTGATGCTGGCAACGTTTTTTGGAGCATTTATGTGTGCAGCGTAGGTATAACGGTAATATAAAGGCGACTGAATGTGTGCGCTTAATGAATTGTGGTCCGGCGGGGTAGAACAGTAGAAAGGAAAANATATATACATAAATCCACAACAACAACCCAGCAGACGTAAAAATAGATTGACCTCAATTTGCACGCTGACGACGAACCGGAGCAAAATAAAAAATACAACCAGCAACAAAATAAGGTGTTAAGGAAAAAATTCCTGCCAAATGGCGACCGATGATGCCATGTGGCAAAATGTCAGCAGACGCATGGTCACTGCTGTCGCCAATGCCGTAGTCGCCACCGCCACCGCCGACGCCGCCGTCGTTGTCGAGAACGAATTCCATTTGCCGCGTCGCACTTGCCGACCCTGCGCTTGCAGATGCAACATTTTGTTGAATGAAACTTCCGACTGTTTTGCAGCCAATAGCAAACGCATCAAGCGCCATTGAAAAAATCGCCGAACAACAACAAAAACAACTATGCATGTACATATATTGAAAAGCCAGGCAGTCAGTGTCAGTCTGCAAAGGCGGCAACTTAGAGAATATGTGCTGCAAGCAACAACAAAATCGTCAACGTCATCACCGGCAACGATTGCAATATGTAGCACTAGCAAGCAACAACAGTAACAGCAACAGCAAAGGCAACAACAAGAGCAATAACGCAGCGGCAGGCAGCCACACAGCAACAGTGAATAAAACTTTGGTTGGTAAGTTGAGTGGCGCAAGTGGCTCAATGTCATCTACTACGCAAAAGTAAAAGCGGTGCCATGCAGTTGCTTTGCACATACATATGTAGGTACATGACTATGTATATAGACACGATATTTATGTACATACATATATATATACTATGTATGTATAGTATACATATGTAGTATGTATTTACCTATTATGTTGCAGCAGCGCTGGCGTCGCTTTTAGCATCAACGTCATACGACCACCGCTTTTGTATGGGTACAAAACGGGCCGTGCGGCAACGGCTTCAAGCATCGATATGCATACGAAGCTATTCAAAAGTGTTTATATTTTAATGGCCGCTTGCAAATTTACCAGTGCAAGTGCACTTAGTTAGTCAATGAAACATTTATGTACGTACGTAAATTGTCAAGTTTGTGTAAATTTTCCTACAGATGCACATCTAAGACCTTCGGCGTCTTCCATAAAGATTAAATGTTTCCAGGAAAAATCTTTCAAATCTCAATTAGAGTTCTCTATAAAAAAGCAATAGAAATTGCTATTGTTAAATTATTTTAGCCGTTTAATTTGAAAGTGGCAGAAGACACCTTTAAAAAAAAAAACACCAAGTTGATTACACCGAGCAAAAGTCAATTTTTCAAAAAATATTAATTATTTATAAATGGAGTAAAACTTAAGGTATCTCAATAAAATTTAGAGAATACGTTAATAGAAGACCAAGAATTAATCACGCCCACTTTTCATATAGTACTAATATGAAAGCTAAGATATTTTAAAAAATTCGTTCAATTTTTCCTTTTAGTCCAATTTTTGACTGCTTCAAAGCTTTTGGATCTGTCACTTCGGCAATCTCTGATAATGTACCACAATCCTCTGATAGTGAACAACGTAAAACGATTTACAATGAACTTTTAATATGTCATTCAACACGGTATAGTATACCCTTTTACATAACTTAAATAATAGTTTAAGACTAATTAATGGTTCAAAACTTTCACACACTATATTCATATAAATTTTATGTCTGAGTCTCGAGCTAATTTTTTGCAAAATTAATCTTCCTTATCTTTTTTGATATTTCGAAAAAATATTAAAAAAAAAACTAAATAATACCGAAGGAGATCCGACAAAGGCACGACCTTCACCCATCTGTTTAATGAATGAAATCTACTTTTTATGAAATTTAACGTGTTAGGAAATATTTCGCCAGTGGGTTGGCTGAAAAAATCCTGGCAAGGATGTTTTTAATTAAATATTTAAAAATTATTTTTATTTCTTTAATTCTGTACTCATTTGTCTAATGAACAAATTATATACCAATCGAAAGCATTAAGCATATAAAACGTGAAAACTTTGGATTGCCATGCAAATAGATAAAAATGCAATAAATAATGCATTTTTTAAATTAAGGTGTTAAAATTTTT